TTAAGTGTATAATATTATTCATAGGAACTTATTTCTCAATAAATTAATGAAAGTATATCTTAGTGAACACAAACATCATTTTTCTTGTTTTTTGTTACTAATCATTACTAACTGTTTTTAAACATTTCAATTCGCAAAGGTAGTTATCACTACAATCGCCATAACAAATGGGGTGTTCTTTCTATCCTGAGCTCAGACAATTAAAATGCATTAATTTAAATATATTCACGAATCTGCTGTTAATAGCTAAGACTCTGCATCCATTTTATTATAAACCTATTGATTAAACCAAAGTTTCAAGGTCAAATGCTTTTCAAAACCAGACTCACAATTGTCCAGCTTGACAAAAGTTCATGGTGGAATCCGTCGACGTTGGAAGTTTGAACTACACATAGTGTATATGCTTTTCGGTCGTATAATTTGACTGTTTTTTTTTCTTCTTTGAATCTCATCTTGCGTGTAAATAAGGGTTTAAATGGAAGAACGATATTATATGAATATTAACTAAGTGATAAGATGGAACTTTTGTTCCACACATATAATTAGCTAGAAATAGTATTGAAGCATTAAGAGTACGTTATCTCAAACGTTTTTATATAATTATTGATGTTCAAATACTCTTACTATGTTATTCCATTTCGTATATTATTCCATTTAGTTGATAGTGTTTGTTTTGTTGTTGTTATTTTTGCTGTACTAGCTTACGGAATGCAGGCTGAAATACGTTATGGCGATTCGATGCAGAAAGAATTTATAAAAACACGCAAGAATTCTTTACTTGTTTCTGCAATTACTTAACACTCAGGTAATCATCTCAATAGAACACTCAGATTAACACTCCGGTAATCATCTCAATAGAACACTCAGGTTAACACTCCGGTAATCATCTCAATAGGACACTCAGATTAAACACTCCGGTAATCACCTCAATAGAACACTCAGGTTAACACTCCGGTAATCATCTCTATAGAACACTCAGGTAATCATCTCAATAGAACACTCAGACTAACACTCCGGTAATCATCTCAATAGAACACTCAGATTAACACTCCGGTAATCATCTCAATAGGACACTCAGATTAACACTCCGGTAATCACCTCAATAGAACACTCAGATTAACACTCCGGTAATCATCTCAATATAACACTCAGATTAACACTCCGGTAATCATCTCAATAGAACACTCAGGTTAACATTCCGGTAATCATCTCAATAGAACACTCAGGTTAACACTCCGGTAATCATCTCAATAGAACACTCAGGTTAACACTCCGGTAATCATCTCAATAGAACACTCAGGTTAACACTCCGGTAATCATCTCAATAGAACACTCAGGTTAACACTCCGGTAATCATCTCAATATACCTTTGTTCCCAGTTTAGTTATTCTATAAGATCTATAAACGATGGATCGACGGCTGTATAAATGTTAGCCTGCCTGTAAAAACAGGTTCAATCATCGATAGGTGGCACTTAATATGCTAAAAAAAGAGTAATATAGTATTAACGTTATCAGTTTAAGATATTATGTACTACGTCATCTAAAGCTTATCTAGAAGATCCCTTAGATATTTCGTGTATATAGATAAGTATAAGTTAGTAATGTATCGGTTTTAGTATAATTTTGATACGAAGGAGTCTTTTGTCAGTACGTTATTGCTCAAAATAAATCTTGTCTTTATATAACAAGCAATGTTAAACCGTATACAAGTACTCTGTGTAATTTACAAGTAAATTTTTATGTATACTATTTATTTGTTATTTATTGAAGATATGTGAATGTATGTACTGATATAACAAAATGCTTCAAGATGAGAAATATTTGAGGTTTATTAGCTTATTAAACAAACGTTTTATATTGAGAGATCTTGTATTATGAATAAGAAATATAAAGTACTTCCAAGGACAGAAATAATATTTTCTGCACATTATATCGAAATTTATAGAGTACTGATTCGCTAGACCTCGCTCCCCAGTGGCACAGCGGTATGTATGTCTGCGGACTTACAACGCTAGAAACCGGATTTCGATACCCGTGGTGGGCTGAGCACAGATAGCCCATTGTGTAGCTTTGTGCTTAACTACAAACAAACAAACACTAGACCTCAGAGAAATATAAAATTGTATAACATTGGGAGCTTATGAACTCTAATTATAAACAGAATTGTGTATTCAACGCTATAAGGATGTTACTCAGATACGTCCTATTTTCTGAGAACAAAGGGCGACTCGCTCGATATTCGTTCACACAATTTTTCCAGTGTTCAAAATAATTATGTCTATTAATTTTCCGATATTCCTAAAGCACAAGTTAAAAGTGTTATTTACCTTATTTATAAAACATGTACTTTGTAATAATACACCAAGTCTACGAGGAATAATACTAATCTGAATCAATTTGAGCTGTACAGATTATAATTCTGAAAGTATGAATTATCCTATTGTTACTGTTGCAGCAAATTTTAGTAAAAAAGGTAATATATATATATATATATTTACCTTACTTATATAAAGTTATATGATTACGTCTTCCAGAGGTTTTCTATGACGACTTTGCAAGTAAACAATCCAAAAAGATATTATCCACAATCTGACCTTTTAATTTTTGTAAAAATACCAAGTTTTTCATTTAAATGGAAAAGTCAGTAACTACAATCCACAGTTGTAAGTAAATACAACACCACTATTTAATGGTTTGAACTCACAGAAGTCTTAGCTTCTTGCAACTGTTTAAAATAAAATAAGCACTAAATAAAAATATAAATAAAGGATGGGATGATTATGGATGTATGTATATTAAGATACGACGAGTTTCATATGAGATATTGATTATTTATTTGATTAGAGAAGGTTATTCCCATACAATACGTCATAATCGTATTACTGATTCAAATATGTTAGCTATAGGTTTTGAACTTGTAAATAGATATACTTCATTTACTTTGTCTTATAACTATAGTATTTTGATACGAAAGATAAACAATTTTATGATTATCCAACACATCATGTTTTTACAAGTACTATTTGAACTTAAATTTATAGTTAATTTTTGATTTTTTTATTATTCCTGCAAATACAATCATGTAGAGTTTATTCGTTCTAAAGATTCTATAGGGCCATAGTGTATCATTCCAAATGTTTGAAAAACTATCTAAACAACATGTATTTCTAAAGGTTCTCTTGAAAAATCTGAATAACATTAGAATATTTTTACAGCTTAACATGTTAAAGAGATAGGTAAGTTTGCATGTGTTGAGTATTCTTGATTTACAAAGTCTTCATTGCTACTTTTTAAGTTCACTTGCGGTTTTTCCTTTTCGTGACTGTTAAGCTTGTTGAGTTGCAATTTGTCAACCTTGGCGATATGTTTTAAAACTGTTTAGATTCCAATCAAAATTATATTGTCTTTTTAATGGAGGTTGTTAGATACGGGATTACCTTGATAATGCATTAGTTACCAGATTACCTTGATAATTCATCTACTCGACACCGCGGTAACGAAACCATGAGCTGATATCCTGACTTCCCGGATTAGAAACTTTACAGACTGATATTACGTTGTTTATAATTATATTTAGTTTTCAAACAACTGTACCTTTTATTTGACAAAATAATAATATTTAAAATCAGATAACAATTCCTTTTAATGACATATTTCTAGAAAGACTGTATAACACTAAATATGAACTGAAAAATAGGTTAAAGACTTGTTGAAAGAACCGGTAAGTGGTGGGTACAGTACAGTACATTGTGCTCAACAACAAAACAAAATCGTAGTACATTTTGTGTAATTAGTTAACAGTTTCGTCACCAAAACCCTCTTTGTTCGTTAAATAAAAATGTATGGTTATTCTTTGATTGATTGCATTGTTCTTGAACGGCTTAAAGATATTTGAATAAACAAAAATATGAAGTTTGTTCTTCTGAATAACTGTATATTTTTGATGGTTAAATGACTATTGTAAGACTAGATCTTTGCATAATTCAAATTATGATATTTTTAAAACGTTAGAATGTTTGCGGTTAGTAAATATCAATATATATCTCTGCGTTGTGATTGTTTAACTCTGACTAAAACTCACATTTAATGCAACTGAGGTAATTTAAGTGTTAAATAATTCTAATAATTAAGGCGTAAGATTAGACTTGTTACATACGTGACTTGCACCATATAAATGCATTTTGAAATCGCATAAAGAAACTTGAATCGCGATAAAGGTGCGTATAAGTCTGTGCAAATTCTAATTCTAATTTCCCTTCAGCAACTACTAAAACAGAAACTGTTATCGTTAAATAGGACTGTGGCAAAAAAAGAAAATATTTATCACAAAACTAATCGCTTCCTGGATTCATATCAAAAAACGATCTGCAGTTATTTCCATAATTATTTCGCTCGTTAGTCATTTCCTTATAAAAATAAAGATAACAAAATGATTAATAAAACAGTAGTAAGGTACATGTGTAGATGTGCAGGAGAGACAAAGAACTTTAAAAGCATAAATTGTTTTTGAGCAATCATTAATCGTAATTGAGGGTACCTTTGCGTGTTGTTGAAAATAAGGAAAAAGGAAAAAAGCATGCTAAGCCAATTTCTTGTAAGAGCTTTCTTCCAAACACGTACATTTACCTGCTAGAGAGAAGGAAGAATACTAAGAACAAAGTGAACCAATTCGTTGAACCAGAATGATCTCATACTCTTTGGAAATGTTATTGAACATAGTTAAACAGATGAAACAAATGAAAAAATATTTCATACAATTTGTTTGAACAAAATATGTAATATTTTCATGTAATACAAAACACTTACGTGTTTTCTGTGCTAACGAGCAGAACATGAACAGATGGTGAAATTAGTTTGTGCACTTCTAAGAAATAAAATAGTACCTGAGGAAACTTGTTGTAAGAACATTTAGCAGAGTGTAAAAAAAACAAAATTGAAGAAGTAAAAAGTATTAATGATGATTGTTTAAAAAAATTAAACTTGCATATCTATTTTCAGAATCCTGCTTATACTATGAAGGAAGCTGCTGACAACCATTGGAGATCCATCACGCAACCTGCCTCCTATTATTATGATCCAGCTTTGGCTAGTTATGGGTATGTTAATATTAAGTGCGTAGCTTTAGAGTTATAATTACACACGTAAAACGATGTAATGAAATTGAATATTAGTCTCTAAAAATCAAAACATAAGTAAAGTTACAATAACTTTTTTGTCACAATCAAAGTGAGACCAAATTTAGCAATTATTTCTCCAGACTTTAATGCTCCTAGGTAAGTTCTACAACACATATACCACTTTTATGGTTAAGATTTCGTAATTCTTATTCACTATCAGATCGAGACATAAGCCCCACAGCGGCACTGTCTACGGAATTACAACGCTAGAATCCGGGTTTCGATACCCGCGGTGGGAAGAGCACAGATAGCCCATTGTGTAGCTTTTTGTTTAGTTACAAACAAACAAATCGAGACATAAATATTACAATGATGTACATTAAATAACCGATCAGAACTTTATCCCTCGATTTGCTGCATCTTACAGATAATATGCGTTATATTCGGTGCCAGTTAATAAATAGTCTAGCTTTGACTGGTACACTTTAATTCTTGATTTTATACTTAGGTCAGTAAATGTCTTTAAAAATCTATACATGTTTAGATAAACTAATAAAAATTTGTTTTTATAATATATATATATATATATATACATATAAATATTTTATTTTTAAAACCAAAACGTTTAAGCTACTGTCAACAGGAACGTGGGGGTACTATTCTAGTCAATGTGAAAATAAAGCTTTTTCATTAAATGCATTAAAGGTGTACACAAAATTTGATTATTATACCTACTTTTACAGTTGTTGTAAGCTGAATGCATTCAGAAGACTTCGTGGTTAAAAAATAGTATGTTGGATTCATATGTGTTTTTATCTTATGTATCTTAAATTAAAATAGTAGAATATTATAAGAACTTGTCTCCTTTGTTTATCTTATGAGAATAATAAATACCGGAAAAAAACGACTTAGATGATACATAAAACTGTAATTTCAAATAATGCTAGGTTCTTGATGTTTAACTTATTTTTCTATAACTTTAATTCTACATCAATATTCTTGTATATTTCTACAGTAGTCTTTAGAGAGCCACTTCAAACACGTATCTTATATATATGTCACATCTTTCAAGTTGCCACCAGTTTATGTTCTCTCTGTGTGTTCATAAGTCTTGTTGGATATTGGGTGAAAGGTGAAATTTTGGGGATCACTAGACCAACATCCCATGGGAAGATGGAGCTGTTATCGACTTTTAACTGGTCTCTGATTGGTAAATTAGAGAAGGATGACTTTTTGAGTGCTCTTTTTATTGAAGTTTGAAACTTAACACTGTAAAATAGTTCTGCAGGAGTTCTTGTCAAAAATGTCCTATATATATATATCTGGCATTGTGTAATGTAGTCGTTTTTTTATTTCTAAGACTTACGTTATTTTTGGAGAAAGACCTGACTTGTGGAAATATTTTGAAGTTGATTATGAGCTTGATGACATAAGAAACCACCACAAAATAGGAAAATATATTAATTTGTGTTAATTTTTATTGTGAATTTTGGGTTTCTGTGCTATTTTTATAATTCATTTTCTTCATCTCTGCCCTGCTGATTAGCAGTGCAGACCAATCACATCAAGACTTGTAATTACAACATTTCTCCGTATTCTCTTGTATCCAATTGTATAAATGATAAGCTTTACTGCGAAACCCCAATATATTCTCAGCTTTATACAAGAAATTTTTACTTCAAATTAATATTCTATAGCAAATATTCGACAGGCTTTCTGCAAATATGGTTACAAAATATTTATTTAGTCCAGCCAAATCGATTAAGCTTAAGAAACTTGTCACATACGTTTGATTATTTTGCTTATCACTCTATTTCCTCAAAAGGTTTTTTGGTTTGGTTTGTTTGTTTGACGTTAAGCGCAAAGCTACACAATGGGTTTTCTGTGCTCTGCTCACCGCGGGTATC